CCTCCCTCCCTCCCTCCCTCCCTCCCTCCCTCCCTTCCTCCGTCTTCTTTCTCATCTTCATCTTCACTGTGTTGTCTTCCTCATCTTCATCTCCACCTGGTCCTCCTCTTCTTTCTTTTACGTTTTATGTCGCCTAGGCTGGCCTGGAACTCACAGCCCTCCAGCCTGAGCCACACTGGAATTGCAGGCATTATTACCACATATCACCCTGACTCTGTTTTATAGCAAAGTGGATATCAAGGCTATCATCATCACACAGACAGGATATCGAGGAGAACTTCCGGAAACTCCATGGGCACACAAGGAGTCTCCAGACAGGCAACAGTTTGGATCTGTACCATTTCCTAGGGCTTTCTGTTTGCCAATGTGTGTGCTTAGACGTTTGCCTGGCACACTTCATTTAAAACACCTTGGGCCAGTGAGATGTCATATATACGTGCGCATAAGACACTCGTACACATAAATTAATACAATCAATATTTTAAAATAAAAAATGTAATATTAAAAAATACTTTCATCTTGCTGTTGCAATAACTTTCATCATGCTGTTGGAAGAACTTTGGCTTAGAAGTGTAATTTTAGTGACGGAGCCCCTCACATTTCAGTACTTATCCAAAAGAAGTCACCCATGGCGGCCAACCCTGGGCCCAGGGTTAGTCTCTGGGAGGGGGAGAGGTGGCCTCCGCCAGACAAAGCTTACTTCTCAGGACTGACAGCCTCAGATCTGGGAGAGCCACACTTAGTTGCATAACGCCACATCCTTTGGGTGGTCCTGCCCTGAATGCAAATTCTTCTTGGAGAAAACTGAGAAGCCGAGAACACATACGGTCTCTGAGAACATGGACTGCCCTAACTGCGGTCTCTTAAGTATTCTCTCCCACAGGAAGGAGCAACACTTCCTGGAGAAGTGCCTGTTTCCAGGTCAGTGAGTAAGATAAGCCCAGAACATCTTGTACTAGAAAGCAAGAAAGAGATCACGATCACACCCCAGCAGGACCATGACAGAGGACCTGAAGGCGGTCATCCCCGATAAATGGGACCATCCGCGCACTGAAAACCCTTGAGTTCAAAATGCTAATGCAGAGACATTCAGGAGCTGGGCCGGTGGATCAGCTGGTAAAGTGGTCGCTGCACAAACGTGAAGACCTGAGTTCAAATCCTTAGACCCCACGACGGGGAGAAACCCACCAGTAACAAAAGGATAGCTATGGTGGATCACTGGGGGGAGGCAGAGACACGCAGATCCCTGGGACTTGCCGGCCGGTCAGCCTAGCTGCATCAGTGAGCTCCCATTTCAGTGGGACAGCTGACTCCAAAACTGGGGTGAACGAGACCAAGGAAGAGGCCAGCATTGGCTTCTGCCTTCCATGTGCTCACACGCACACATACACACATATACAACACATTTTTAAAAAGAGATTTTTGGAGGACATTTAGAGAGTCAGCTTGTCCTTCTGAGACCTGACAGAGTGAAAAGAACGGGAAATTTTACAAAAATCGCCTTTGGGAACTCACAACAATACAGTGAACTCGAAAACTAGTTGACCAACTTCCCAGGGTTCTTCCAACCCCTCCCCCCATGCCCCACCTCCCCCACCTCCCCCACCCCACCCTACCCTGGTTTCTCTAGGCCAGTAGAGATTCACTTCCTTGGCATAAGACATGTCTTGAATTTGGGTAAAAATATCCTCTGGGTAAGTTTGTTGACTACTTTGCTCAAAGACTGGGAGAGGGAGAGCGGCAAGTCCTTGGGATCCTCGGGTCTGGGGGACAATTGAGGAAGAGCCCAGGGGCCAGAGATCTTGTCAGCCTCTTCGAGGGGAGGGACTCCTTACCTGGACAAAGAGAAGCTTGCAGGCTGGGCATCTGAAGTTCAGCTCCTCCTTAGGAGCCTGTCAGATGAAGCCAATCCACAGGCTGAAGGAATGGCAGGGAGGCAGGCTGACGACACACCCCAGGTGGTCCTGTCACGGTGTCCCTCCTCCAGAGACTCTGGCTTTTCTCCCTTGTTCTACAAGAGGGAATTTCTGCTCCAACAACCCTTGTCTGCTCAGTCCCTAAGGCCACTTCAAACTCCATCAAGCCCCTCACCCCGAGGCCTCATCCACCTTGACAGTTTCCCATCTCCAGGGTCTTCCCTGTGTGGGGAGCGGGCACTACAGAGCAAGGGGAAGCGACCTGGGTCCACATTGTGTTTACTCTCAACCCTCCCTCATAGATTTCCAGCGGTCTTGACCAGCTCAGCTTCTCCCGTGACTGTCCCTGATCCCTAAAGTTTGACAAGCTTTCTGGCTTGGATGGAGGGGAGGCAACCTCCACCTGAGTGCCCAGGCTGGTCCCAGCACCCTGGTTCCTGACCGATTTTGGTTGCTCTGCTCCTCTGTGGGTTGACGGCATCTGTGTCCATCTGTCCTCCTTCTGTGGATTGCTGACCACCTCTCTAGCCCGTCTCCTCTTCTACCTCTTCACCCCCAACTTCCTCACTTACCCTACACCCTGCCTGCCTCTCATCTCCAGAGCCGTGCCCGAAGGACCGAGATAAGCACCAATGTCCCCAGATCACTCCATTAGTGAAGCTGTGGGCCCACCTCCTCCCCAAGGAAGGACCCCCACGGACACTGACCTTCAGAATCCTGTCCCGACATGCCCTTGGCTAGCAGGCCTTGGCAGTATTCCCTTACTCTGACACCTGGCCTTTGCCTGACCTCATGAGCAGGCCTGGGCGCCAGCCTCGGCCCTCCCTGGCTGGCCCATCCCCTGGCCGCCCCAGCCTGGCTTATGACATCTTTCCACTGAGCAGCCCTTATTTTGAGAAGGCAAACCCAGTGGCGCCCACAGGCATGTACACACGCTAACACACGCGCGCACACACACACCCTGTCCCTCTAAGCGCCCCGATGCTGCGCGAACTGGCCTTCAAATCTGGCTGGCCCTGTTTATTTTTCTTCCTGTAATTTCCCCTTTGGAACAAACACCAGTGCCGAAGCTCGGCCACCCCCTCCTCAGTCTCCAGCCTCTCGGCATCTTTCTCTCCTCCGTCCTCCGGAGAGCTCGGCTGTGAATGAGAACAGTGTCATCTTTAGCAGCAGCCTGAATGAATTGGTCTCAGCCTCCAAGCCAGCATGAGTGGCGGGGTGATGGGCAGCATGTGGGTTTGCTTCTTAAAACTCGTTGCACCCCCTGAAGCTTATACTTTCCCATGTGCCTTGGAAGAAAGCCCTCACCCTCCAGCCCCCCCCCTCTTTTTAAAGTTTATTTTGTTGCAGTTTTTGGTCCCACGCATTTTGTTTTCTGTTTTCTACAAGGGAGACTGAATTAGGGCCTCAGAAAAACAAGGCCAGGCTGCCAACTGGAAATGTTTGCTCTGGGGGCGAGTTGGGAGGCTGGCGTCAGGCGGGGCAAGATCCGTGCCAGTGGAATGTGATTTGGGGAGGAAGCTGCAGGTCACTCAGTTGCTGGCAGGCGGCCCGGGAGCAACTGGATGCTTTCTGGGCTGTGTGTGTGCATGAAGACTTTCTTTCCCCCTCATGCAAACAGAGCCCCAGAGACGTGGAGACAGAAGCATTAGGAACAAAGTAGACAAGGAGTTGGAAAACCCGCAGGGGTGGGTAAAACGGGTGGAAGGGGTGGGTAAAACGGGTGGGGTAGGATGAACGGCAAGATCCTTTCGGCCACTTCGTTCAGTACTCACTGAGTCCGTCCTTTGCTCAAAGGTGGAGGGGCACACTGGTGGGAGGGAGTGGGGGACCCTGTGACTGAGAAAGAAGTCTCCCAGTACAGGGCACGGGCCAATTTCCTTGGAAGTCCCCCCAGAGCAGGGTGCATGGATATTCTCAAGTGTTCAGGGGAGGCTTCCTGGAGGAGGTGTGAGGTAAGGCCCTGAAGCTTTGCACTAAAAGGAAAAGCATCTATGTTTGATGGCCTGCTAGTTAGTGGTTACCATGCCCCAAGCCTTTTCCAGTAATAATCTCCTTAATCCTTTTGATCCTTTGTGTGACATCAGGTGTCCTGTGCCCAGGCTAGCCTAGGACTCCCTGTGTAGCTGAGGATGGGTTTAAACTTCTAATCCTCCTGCCTCCACCTCCGCAGCGCTGGGATTACAGGAATGCCTCCCCATACCTAGTGTATGTGGTGCTGGGACTGAACCCAGAGCTTCGTGTGTGCTCACTACTAACTGAGCTGCACCCCAGCCCTGATCTCTTTTATCCTCACCACAGCTTTGTGAGGGTCCGTAATCTTTCAGTCCTGACTTGGCAAATGGGGAAGCTGAGGCCCAAAGAGATCTGGAAACTTGGTCGGTCTGTGAGGTTGGAAGTGGCGAGCTCAACCCAGGGCTGTCTGTCTCTCCATAGCCCGAGCCCTCGGTCCGCCGCTAATGGTCTTTCTGCACATCAGCAGATTTCTTAGGCAGGAGCTAGTTTCTCCTCTAGCACGCCGCACAGGAGATTGTTCTGCTCAAGGTGAGGGACCTCAAGGACCTAAGGAGGCGGCTGGATTTCCTAGGGCTCGGTGGGACAAGTGTCTGGAGATGAGAGGTGTTCCCAGGAGGTGGTGATCGGGCCGCAGCAGCCCTGCTACATTTTCTACCACACGGGTCCTTTCCTATAGCCTGGCTACCTTCCCATACCCCACCTTACACCCTTCATGCGCCAAGTTCTTGGCTACCCAGACCTTTGTTCAGGACCTTCCCTGAGCATCCTCAGAAGTTGTCAGTGCTGTTCTGAGGAGTCAATGAAACTGGGATGGACTGTATAGGGTGTGTTTACCCAGGGTAACCCCTGGAGTCAGGGCCAGGCGCCCTGGATCTGTCACCCCTGTGTGACGTTAGGTGAATTCTTTCCATCATCAGGCCCCAGGGTGCCCGGTTTTAAAAATGGGAAGTGGCCTGGTTGGTGTTTGTGCTGTGGCAGACTTCAGGTAGTGGAGCTGATCGGCAGGCGAGGTGGGGCCGGGAAGATTTGTCTGAGGAACCCGGCATACCGCAGGAGGCCTCTGCCAAGAGAAGCAAGGTCAGGCTTGAGAGAGAAGGGAATGAGCCGGGTTGGCAGGGCATGAGGAGATGCTACAGAAGAGGTGAGGTCGTGGACAGAGCGGCTAGGCCAGCTCAACCCAGGTACGCTGGACAGTGATCCATCCTACTTGGGAAACTCCATTGACTAGTTGGGGATTTTTATCGTCCTGTGCCCAAATATGTAGTTCATCTCACCGGCAGATCCTGTTCTGACTGAACTGACCACTAGTCTTAGGTCGACTGTGAAGGCCCGCCATGTCACCTGCATCAGCGGAGCCGACTGGCCAGTTCACGGTGATGACTGCATCTACCGCTTGTTTTCAGGAAACAGGCGATTAACCCAGCTAACCCAAGCTGGTAGTTGCCTTTGCTTCTCGGAGACAGCCCTTGGATCTGACAGCTGTGGTCCTGAGGTCAGGACGAGGTGCCACTTACCCAAAGCAGCTGGCTTCCTGAGAAGACTGGGGAGAAACCCCTATAAACGACGGGCTTTGGGACTCAGTCTCCCCCATCAATTACGTGGGAGGGCTGGACTATGACAGGCATGGCCAGCACATGGTGTGAACACGGCTACCCCTGCGCTTTCACCCATGGCAGACATCTGCCAATCAACTATAGCCCTTCCCCGCCCCCCGGGGGCCCAGATATCTCAGGATCCTTTTCAACACAGAGCTTCAGGCCACCCCTACCCATCAATTAGATTTGGCATGCGTGATAAAAAGCATTTGTCCTTGGGACATTCGATGGCCATGGCCGAGCCTCGCTCCAGCTGTGGTGGTGATCTAGGAGAGCCACTGATGAGGTATTCTGGAGACTGAGCCAGGGCGGGGACCACCAGACCTCCAGCTGTCTCTGGGGCTTCCCGGGCCTATGGAGTGGGCCTTGCACTGCTATGCCTTATTAATTTCCCTCACCGTTAATAAATGTAGATTGCGTCAGCTCTCCTCTCTGCCCCCTCATGTTCTCCGACTGCCGCCATCAGCAGAGACTTTTTTAGAAGTCTCACTGAAGAAGCAGCCAAGCCCCCCCCCCCTTCCCTTCTTTCAGAGAGGCTGGGGGAGATGGCTTTGGGAAGACTTCACAGTGGAGGAATGCACTCCACAGGGAGTTGAAAGTTGTTTTCCCGAAGAAAGAAAATGAAAAGGAAGGAGTCATCACGCTGTTGTTTCCCATCCAGCCCTTGAGCCCCGCGGTGGGGACTGGGAATCAATCCCAGGAGGATAAGGCTGAAGCCTAGTCTTGTTAGGCTGTTGACAACTAGGTCCTGAAGCGCACAGCCTTAAGGAGCCACTTGCTGGCTCCCTGGCTGCCTCCCTGGCTGATCCTATTTCCAACGGCCTTCCCTGCCTGCGGGGGAGGCTCCTGGGGCTTCTGTCTCCAGAATGGAGGTTTCTCTTTTCCCCAGTGCCGTGCTCTGGGGTGGGAGGATCTTTAGCACAAATCTTAATTTACTGGAGCGGTTTGAGGTCTGTGGTTCTGCATCCTCCTGCTTCTCCATTTACAGATGAGTGGAGCCTTGCAGGGGGCCGGGGCAGGGTACAGATCTGCCTTAGGAAGAGGACTCAGCTCAGCTCACAGCTGTAGGAAGCTGAACAACACAATATGGGGCCCCAGAGCCCCTTGGACCTGAGTGACACCTGTGGAAACAGTGGCCCAAACTCCTGGATTTGAATTAGACTTTTTCTTCTTTTGAAAAAGATTTTATTTAAAAAAGTTATGTTTTAGATTTATTTTATCCGTATGAGTATTTATTTTCCTGAGTGTAGGTATGTGCTGTGCGTGTGCCTGGTGCTCTCGGATGTCAGGAGAGGGTGCTGGGTCCTCTGGAACTGGAGCTACAGACGGTTGTGAGTTACCCCCTAGGCGCTGGAAACCCAGGCCCTCTTCAAGAGCAGTAAGTGCTCTTAACCTCTGAGCCATCTCTCTGGCCCCTATTTAAAAATTTTAAATTATGTTTATGTGTGTCGGGGGAGTACACAGCAGTGTGGTGTCCTTGGAGACCAGAGAGGCCGTCAGATTCTCTGAAGCTGTAGTGACAAGTTGCAGTGCTGAGGTCTGAACTCAGGTCCTCTGCAAGATCAGTATGTGCTCCTGACTGCCGACCCCTCTTTCCAGCCTCCTTTCTCTTCTTTCTGAAACAAGGTCTCATGTATTAGTCCGGCTTCCAATTCCTTATACAGCTAAGAATGACGGTGTTTGATCCTCTCTCTACCTCCTGAGAGCTGGGATTACAGATGTGCACCACAGTGCCGAGTTTATGCGATGTTGGGCTGGAACTCAGTACTACCTGTATGCTAGGCTCTCCATCAGCTTAGCCAACCCCAGCCCTGAATTATAGCCTATGCTTTTCTTTCCCTTCCCGTTTCTTTCTTTTAAAACATTTATTATTTCACCTGTATGTGTGTACGTTTGAGTGCGTGTATATGTACCCTATGTGTGCAGGTACCCGAGGAGACCAGAAGAGGGCCTTGGATGCCCAGGAGCTGGAATTATAAGAGGTGCTGAACAACACCATGTGGGGGTTCGGAACTGAATCTGGGTCCTCTGGAAGAGCAGCAAGCGTGCTTAGCCACTGTTCCATCACCTCTCCAGCCCCCCTTTCTTTCCTCTATAACCACGAACCCCAAACAAACCAATAAAGGAACACAAATAGATGTTCAGTATTCCTATTGGGCACTTTAAGTGACTGTGATGGATTCTACCATCTGGATGAAACGCAAGAGCGGAGAGCCTGCCTGCCTGCACCCCTCAGCGCTTCCCCATTGTTGACCCCTAGAAAGGAATGCAGAATGAGTCCTCACTTTAACAATAAGGTCAGGGGAGGATGAGGGCAGAGCATGCCAAGGGAAACTGGGTGCCTGGAGACTTGGTTGCTTCCTCTTCATCTGCCAAATGTCCTCTTGGCTGACAGTGTGTCAGCCCTGGGCAGAGATCCCTGCAGCGTTAGCCATCCTATCACTTCTTAGCAAAGCTCGATTGTTAGAGAGGCACCAAGCCACCTGCCTTGGGGAGCTCTGTTTGCCCCTATCTGCTTCTTCCTGCTGCTGACTGGGGAGCACAGACCCTGAAATGTGATGGAAAAGAAAAGCATGTCCTGGGGGAGGTTCCAGATGAAAAGGGTCGGGGTTCCAGTTGCGAATAGAGAGGTAGAGGAGGCCTCTGCGATCGTGGACGTAACAGCGTAAGCATGACAGAAGAGGGTGCAAGCCAGGGGTATGGGTCCTCTGGGCAAATCCTACCCCCTCCCAGCCTGATTCAAACGCTCCTTCTTCCAGGAAGTACCCCAGAGCTGTTCCACCATGCCCCACTTCCGACACTCTTCCAGAAGCATGTCATTTTGTACAAGGTCAGACCCAGCCTTCCTCCAGGACTATGTCTTTGCACCAGAATGGTCGATCCGTTGCGCTCAGGGCCTTTTCTCTCTTCACTGCTCTACCCCAGCCTTAGCAACAACATCCCAGCACTACAGATGCTCTAAGAAATGGATGGGAACTACCTGCCCTTAGTAGGTAGGCTACTGACAGCAGGAACCTCATCAGATTCCTCCTGCTAGCCAACGCCATCATGGCAGCTGGCTGAATCTGTCCATGGTATGAATGGCTATTAATTTGAACCGTTGTCTCCTGCTCAACTTATTCCAGGAGGAGGAGGTCTTAGAGGCACTGTAGTGCTCCCCCAACCCCCAGCAGAATCACAGGGGTCTCTGCTAAGGGCTCTAACCGGCAGGAAGCTGACAGAGCCAGCCCCTGTAAAGCACATGGCCACTTCCGAGGCTACATTAGCCAAAGGAATCACAGGACAGCCCAGACCCACTGCTCTCTCTCCAGGAAGACACAGAGAGAAGGACTCCACGGAAGTCCTCAAGACACCTGAGCAAAGTGAAGTTACTGGGAAGATTTGAGCAGAGAGATGACACAATGCATCCTACACTTTAACAGCTCCCCTCCCCCGCCTCCGGCTAGGAATCAAACTCAGAGCCCTGCACATTCTACTACACTCTCCTTGTTCCTCTTTTGCCCTCTGTTTCCTCTGAATTTGAGTCAGGAGTAAGCCCTCCACCCTCACCCCCACAGACACTGCCCTTTTTCCAGTGAATCCGCTTCACTCAGGGCAGAGAGCACTCAGCACAAAGCTAGAACCACAGGGTCTCGGAGAAAGGTTCCTTCCTCCTTTCCTGCAGAGCCCCATTACTCTGTCCTACCCCCAAGACCCTGGGGTTTTCTACAGCTGGATAACCACTGGGGAGCAGGAAGATAGAAGAGAGCTCATTCCCGGGTCCGGTGTCCTGTTGGCTACCAGCAGCAGTCCTGGCTCCCTGGCTAGGTGGAGAAGGGCTTACATGGACCCAGGGTAACCTGTTCTTTCCTTTCCCTCCCCAGCCGGTCCTACGCAGGGCTGCTGGGAGCAGGAAGGCAAACGCGCTGTCCGCATTGAATTCTGCTTGCACCTGGCTGTCTATTTCTCACCCTTCCCCGATTTCTCTATCGGGGCACAGGCACTCTGGAACAATCTGAACAGCCAGAAATAGACTCCGTGTTCAGGAATGCAGAGCTTCATGCAGCAAGTATTTAAAGTCCCTTCTCATCTGGCCAAGAAGACAGACATCACAGAGCCCCATCCCGGAGAGCTGTCCTATCTCACGGGTTGAGCTTGTGTGCCAAGGCCCCACGGGGCAGGGTCCACTTGGCACACAGAGAAACGGCAGTGCATGGCTACTAAGATTCAGGCTTTTTGAGCCCGAGACGCCCGACTGTCCAAGGTGAGGTTCCTGCCATGTGACTCTGATCTGGAAGGAACCAGGCAGACCTCAGGCTAGGTTAAAGCAGATTTGTGGCTGCAGCTTCTGCTCAGGCTGGAAGCACAAGCAGAGACAGCCAGCGGTCAAAAAGACCAGTCCCACCGCCGGGCCAGTCCCTCACCTCCAGGAGCTAGCCACTAGGCTCTCAAGAGGCAGAGGAAGTACAATGGTTCAGAGCTCGGGCTTCAGGGTCAGTTGGTCTGGATTCAAACAGCATTTCTCACTCCCCTTCTGATGGCTACTTCTTCCTCCAGAAGCCTTGGTTTTCTTGTGGGTAGAGTGGGTTTGCCTCTCCTTGTAAAGATGAGGGATATAGAACCTAGGTGGTCGTTCCCTATTGGTGGTAATTATCAACACGTGGCTGGCTAGCAGGTCTCTCCTGTCATGGAAGCTCTAAGCATTTTCCTTCCCTTCCTTGTCTAGCTTCACTTCTGTGCCATGGAAAAGCCATTTAAAGGATATGGAACCTTCCAGAGGCAGCCTTATGCTCTTCCGGTATAACCTCAAAAGGTTGTCTCATTGGGGGGGGAAGTTTTACTAAAGGATATAGATTTTCTTGGAGGGTATCTGTGTCATTTCATACCAAGCAAGGATGGAGCACTGAGAGCCTCTGCATCTCTGCCCCTCTGTGGATTCGAGAAGTTCTTAGTACTGTCTTTATAGGGCCACTCTTTTTAAGAGCTGCAGTCAGTAGTGTGTGTGTGTGAGTCTCCTAAGTGTTGTACCACCAGGGGGCGCTGTTCAGCTGGTTTCTGTCCAGCTTCTCAAGTGAAGCTGATGGGAATCCAGAGTACTGGGAAGGGGCAGATTTTTGCTCAGGGATGTATACAGCAGGCTCCATCCTTTAGTCTGTGGCCAGGCAGACTGAGAATGCAGCCACAGGCACCCTTCTCATCGGTTAGGTTACTTACATTTCTCTTCTGTCCACCCTGTGACTAATGAGACAGTGTTAGGATAAGGAGCGGACACTTGCCGACTCCAGATGACCAGAGGGAGAGGCGGCGGGGTGAGGGGGTGGGGGAGGCAACATCTCCCCAGCACAGCTGTATCATTCCTCTATCTGCTCCCTCTCCTTCCATCCACTACAGTGGTCCTTCCCTCCTCTTGGGGGATATCAGCAAAGGGCTGGGATTCGGCGTTCATGGAGCTCTTCCTACTCACCAAAGATGTGCTTTCCCCAAACACTAACTGCCTCTTCAGGAATGATCTCCTACCTCGTGGACGCTTCTAATACACTCCACTGCCATGGGCGACCAGTCTGCCACTCTGCCCAACTCTGGTTAGATCTTGAGACAGTTTCGCAGAATGCCAACCTGACTTGTGTTCCTGGGACCTCTGCTCCAGCACGCGGGAGAGGGAAGGGAGAAGACCTTGTAGCGGGGTGACAATGACCAGGGTGTCCAGGGCCACCGTTCACTTGACTTTGGGCGTCATTCAAATGCTATATACAAGCCTCATTTAATCCTTTTAATGACCCCCTCGCCTCAAGGAAGAACGCTGGCCCGGGGGAGAAGGTCTTTGGAGAGGACCTGTGAGGGCCTCCTGGTTGGCCTCTTTTTTTCTAGAAGGATCTCCAGTGGCATGGAGGACTGGGGGTCTGGAGGGCGGACTCTGCCCCTTACCACTGACATTAGGGTTCATGCTGAGTTTATCTTTCCTGTCTCCGCGGGAGGAAAGCGTGATTATGACCCCATCCTAGCCACAGGGAGAGGGAGGAGCAGAGGGGTTGCATGACTGTGCCAAGGCGACTTGGTCAAGGGCAAAGCTGAGCTCTGGAGCTGCGAACTTTGCGTTATCGAGAGGCTGTCCTGCCTTGGCTCATAACGTTAGCTCAGCAACTGTTGAACGGGCACCTCCATGCGTCTGGGGCTTCACAGCCAGGCTGTGACAAGCACGGATGTTCTCCACGTCCTCCGGATTTCTCATTTCATAGATGAGTAAATCTGGGTTTAGCAGGGGCGCCTCGGGTGAGATGACTTCAGATCTTCACAGATGCTAGGTCTGCTAACCCAGAAACTTGCACCCTCCTCTGCCTCCCGTGTACTTCGGTGCCTCCGTTTCCCGAATGTCCATGTGACCTCTTGGGTTCCTGGGACCTCTGCTCCAGCGAGTGGGAGGAAGAAGGGAGAAGACCTTGTAGCGAGATGACAATGACCAGCCTCTCTGGGGTTCTCTCCCACTTCCCTTCCCTTCCCAGAAGAAGTCACCGTTCTGGGATCTCTCCCTCTGTTGGAAAGTTTGGGTCGGGGGGTAGACGGGAAGGCTCTGGGTGGGTAAGGTCGGCGCTGCATCACCCCCAGACCAACAAGGCAGGGCAGTGAAGGGCCAGAGCGGTCAACAGCCACGCCACGTGCTCAGAGCAGTAGTGGAGGGAGCACTGCCTTTGGGGAGAGGAGGCGCGCCCCTAACTTGAGTAGGGGGCGGGGAGGGCGAGCAGGAGGAGGCAGGTTCCGGCACAAGACATGGGGGTAGGGGGAGGCCGAGAGCACGCGGACAAAGGAGGCGGCCCTCAGCCCAGCTGTTTTGAAAAATGCTTCCTGTTTCTTTAAAGGCGCTCGCGGCTCGGGCGGCCTGGGCTAGGCAGGCGGCAGCGGCGGCGGCGGCGGCGGCGGCGGGAGCTGCCTCCTCTCCGGGCGGGCGGCGCTGAGTGATCTAGCGAACTGGGCTTCTGTGTAAACTGAGGCTAAACAAACACAGATGGAACGCAGCGGGCGTTCTGCTGAAATGCTGGCAGGGCTGCAGCGACTTCTGATGACACTCTGAGCTCTCCTGGGGGAACGGGCAGCCTCCGAGGCTTCACGGAGCCGGAGGCGCAGCTGCCCCGGGAGTGGGGGAGCGAGGGAGGGACCCGGGGAGGGAGGGTAGGAGGAGAGAGCTCGGCGACAAGGCGGCGCTGAGCAAGGCGGCCACCGGGCGCAGCCAGGCGCTCAGCGTGCAGAGCGATCGCAGCGGGCGCGCGTCCCGGGCAGTCCCACGCCCCTGCCTGGCGCCGTCCGCGCCATGAAGCACATCCCGGTCCTCGAGGACGGGCCGTGGAAGACCGTGTGCGTGAAAGAGCTGAACGGCCTCAAGAAACTCAAGCGGAAAGGCAAGGAGCCGGTGCGGCGCGCGAACGGCTATAAAACTTTCCGATTGGACTTGGAAGCACCCGAGCCCGGCGCCACGGCCAGCGCCACCGCCGCCGCCGCCACCAACGGGCTCCGGGACAGGACACAGCCGTTCCCGATCGTGACCCCAGTACCAGCCTCAGTGGCGCCAGCGGTGCCTCCAGGTGGAGGCACGGACACAGCCCGGGAGCTCAGGGGCATCCGAGCGCCTGACGTCTCAGACGCGCGCAAACGCGGTTTCGCCCTGGGCACAGTGGGACCGGGACTACCCACGCCGCCACCGGCATCCCAGAGCTTGGCACCCGAGCGTCCCGAGGCGCAGCCCTACCGCGAGCCGGCTCTGCGTCCCCGCATCTTGCTGTGCGCCCCTCCCGCACGCCCCACGCCGTCTGCGCCTCCCGACCCCCCAGCGGCGCCACGAGAGTCCCCCGTGCGCCCTGCGCCCCCCACGCGCCCGGGGGAAAGTTCCTACTCGTCAATTTCACACGTAATTTACAATAACCACCCGGATTCTTCCGCGTCGCCTAGGAAACGGCCAGGCGAAGCGACCGCCGCCTCCACGGAGATCAAAGCCCTGCAGCAGACCCGGAGGCTCCTGGCCAACGCCAGGGAGCGGACGCGGGTGCACACCATCAGCGCAGCCTTCGAGGCGCTCAGGAAGCAGGTACCCACTCTCCGCCCCGGGGCAACAGTGGCAGAAGTGGGTGGGTGAGTGGCCCCAGGATCGGAATCAGGATAAAGGGAATCCCGCAACGCGGGCAGGTTTTGAGTTACCATTGCTGCCACGGATCTTGGTTTGCAAAGTGGGCCAAAGCTAAGGATCTCTGGCCCAAACACACCCCCGTGTTCCCGAGGGGTAATCAGGTCCGCGCGTCTGACTTGTACGGCAGCGCGCATTTGTCTCCTGGAATCCCTTGGGATCGGTGGGGAATACAGAGGGGGAATATGGGAATCTTCCCCCGGCAGGGGAGGGGAGCAGAGCATGCACGGCCTTTCAGCTCTGAGAGCACTTGGCCTGCTTGGGGGTCTTGGCCCCCTGTGGGTGGCACCGAGACCCATAACACCACAGAGGTGCGTTCCTGGCGGGGGCGGGGCGTGGGGTGTCCTGAAATGTAAAGGGAAGCCAGGGAAGCTTGTCAACCCTCTCAGGCCCTGGCTTCCATGTTGACTCAGTTTGCTTGTGGGATCTCTGCACTTGCCTGGTTCCCGGAGTCCCTGAGCACACGGGCTACAAGCTTGAAGTCCTTCCTGGGACAGCTTCGGGAACTGATGTGTGGGAACTTTCCCAGGAGATCCTCCTGCCCACCACTGCCCTTCCCCTTCTGGTCACATCAGTCACCGCTGCCCAGGAGACGGCTGCTGGGAGCATTCTCTCTAGGGAGGTCTGCAGAGCTGAGTTCTGGATAAGTCTCAGGCTTCTCACCCGGTGGGTGGGCGCTGGTGGGGACTGCCCTCACCTGACAGAGCCTGTTGGGGAAGCAAAAGAATACTTAACTGGAGAATTACCCATGGTGGAAGGGGGCAGTTGACAATTCCACTTAAGATAAGCTTGGTGCTCGCCTGGGACTCTAGTTTCTTGTTTTCTTGGGGTCGAGTAAGATCTAAAAGGGTGTCGTATGGGCCTTCCCGTCCAGGTCGTGTAAGGGGTTGGAGTGGGTGGTGGATGAAAGTTCCGTTTGTTCTGCCGCTGATTAGCGTTTGTCTCCTGGAAAGTTACTCAACCTCTCTGGGCATTAGCCAGTCACAAACCGTTTCAGAAAACATCATCTTTTTGGCTCATACTCTCCTTTTCCTTCTGTGGGTAAGGTCAGGCAATGGGGACTTAGTCCGGCTACGAATTGGACGTGGAACCCCTAGAAAAATAAATGGCCTCGATGGCCTTTCAGCCTGAGCGTCTCACGTGAGTGTGGGAGAAATGTTTGATCAGTGGCCTGCAGACACATCAGCTGTTGCCCTGAGCTGTGGAGCCATGACTCTACCCTAGCCAGCTCCTGCGCCCCTGCATGCCTGGGCAGTGACAGCCTGCAGCGTGTCTTGTGGTCCCTCTTACAGGACAGGAGGGTGACAGGGCGGGAAGTTGCCTGTACATCTGCTTCACTTGCAGCTAGGTGAGCCTTTCCTGAGCTGGGGAGTCACGTGCCCAGAGCCTCCATCTCATCGCCCGCCCGCCCGTTACCTGTGTCCAGCCACCTTCTGAAGCCTTTCCCAGAGAGAGCATCATGGTTGTGTGTTCAGTCTGTGTCTCTCATGTCCTGTGGCTTTTGTAACTTCCAACAGGGAACTCTATTTAGTCTTAACGTCCTTGTCAGGATTGGGGAGACCCATTTTATAGCAAGCAATACTGAGGCCAGGAGAAGGTGGGCGGCTTAGCCAAGGCCATCTTGTAGTGAGTTAGGGCTTAGATGGCAACAGTTTCTGGAGAGCTTCTCTGGCTAAAATCTTCCCACTGGGTGGTGCCCCCGGAGACTCTCAGTGATGAGGTTGTTACTCCTGCCTGCTTTCATCTCTGCCATCTGTGGGGCAAGTGTCTGCAGAAAGTGAGTCCACACATTATCAAAAGAGGCTTTGTGTATGCATACATGTAGTTAAATGTATGTATGAATGTGTGTTCAGTACATGTACGCAACACACGAACACACACACACACACACACACACCTGTTGCTTTTTCCTGACCCTAACTATTGTGTCCTTTCCCTAGACGGGCTGCTGGGCCGTATCGGATGCCTGCTTGTTGTCTGAGGACAGGAATATAGCCAGGGACTGAGACTCTACCCACCATGTCCCCACCACCAAAGCGCCCGTCTGGTCGAGGGGGTGCTGTGTCACAGGGAACATCTTCCTCTCTGGGCCTCCGCCTCCTATTTGTCAGGCTCCGTGGTCTTTCCGTGTGGCCGTGGTCAGTCACCTGTCCTCTCGGGGCCTCGGCTGCTAAGGTTGCATCATGATCTTATCCCCTACCTCACAGGCAGCTCCCTTGTGCAGAGGGGACAGAGTCGGACAGGGACAGTAAGGAGGAGGAACATTTCTCTAATGTCCGCAAGGGCCTCGGGGCTGAGCGGGGCTCTGTTAGATAAGACCGTGTGGATTCTTTATTGTTTAAACCACCCCCTTTACACAGTGTCTCTTCCTATAGCCTTGGGTTGGCCTGCATCTTGTTATGTAGACCTGGCTGGCCTGGAATTTATAGAGATCTGCTTGCTTCTGCCTCCCTAAGTGCTGAGATTAAAGGCACACACCTCCATACATACCCAGCTTATCTGAAACTTTAATTTGTATTTGTGTGTGTGTGTGTGTGCGCGCGCGCACACGCGCGCGCACATGTGCATGCACGAACAGATGTGCCACAGGGTGAGTGGAGGTCAGAGGACAACTTCCAAGATGGTTCTCTCCTTCTACCCCGTGGGCCTTGGGCTTGAACTCGGGCCGTTGGACTTGGCAGCGGGCACCCTCTGAGCTGTCTAGGCAGTCGTTCTGTCATCTGATAACAAGCGCAGGAAGCGCCAGGCTCTGTCTTAGCATCTTCTGTGTTCCAGCTGGTGCTGTGAAGTGGGCGCCGCCATCGTTCCACAGCACCCCGGTTCACACCGGGTCACCCCGGGGGTCTCGGGAAGCTTACATGGACTGGCTGAGGTGGCGCAGGGTGTTTGGTGGCCTCACTCACCGGCGTTTGTGCCGCGCTGTGTCCGTGGGCCGCTCTTCGGGTCCTAGTTGGGCAGTGCCTTCGTGGCGCTGTGCAGATGCAGAGCTGTGTGGTCACCACCAAGCCTGGAATGAATCAGGGTTCGTGAGGCTTTTCCAGTGGCCAGTGCTTAACGGCTTTGCTTCTTGGCTTACCCACCCCGAGCACCAGGGGGCCAGTCGGGCCTCTGCCTGTCATTACAGTCTACACGACCCTCCCAACCCAACCGGGAAGAAAGAGCACAGGGGGCCGTGTGGCTGCTGGCAGAGGTCCAGGTGGGAGAGAGTCCCTCTGGTCAGGGGAGAGGGGCTCTGGGGCAGATGGTCAGACCACAGCACTCGCCACCAGCCCAGCTGCACGGGAGTCCTCCTTGCTGCCTCATATGAAGGCCATGTGTGTGCAGCTGGGCCTGGCCACGTGCAGGCTGCTCCCTGCCAGGTGGGAGGGGTCCCGGGGAAGGCCAGCTGTACTGGGTAGAGGACGGAAGGGCCTGAGCTGTGGGTCTCGGTTCCCTGGCAGGACCCTCCAGCTGTGCCCACCTTTGGGATGTCGAGCCTGTGGGTGGCTTTGATCTCTCCCTTGATGTCCGTGGAGAAGCGGCAGGAGAGTGTGATGGGCCCTTGGCCTCTGCCTCTCCCCCTGAAGGAGGTATCAAGCAAGTGGGGTCCGGGCTACCACCCCCAGTGTACCTTGGGGGTCCCCAGGGGTCTCCCCGGGTTCATTCAAAGTGACCTCAGAAGGGTATGGGGATGCTGGTCTCAGCTTAGCCTCTCTTGGACTCCCAAATCCTCTGAGGTGAAAGAGACACGGGGGACCCCCAGCAGTGTCTGTGCATCCCTCAGACTGGGGGGATGAGCCTGCTCATACTGGAGCTCCCCACAGTTGGCAAGGGGGGATAGGACTCTCCCTGCCCCCAAGCTCACACTTCCAAAGGAGACTATTTGTTGAGATTCCTGTGACATGGATATATATCTTTGGTCATAAGTTTGTAGGTTGCTTATCCTTACACCAATGAGGACACTTGCAGAAAGTGGCCAGGTTCTGTCCCCAGGTCTGTCAGGCCCTGGGAGTGAATGGTTGGGGTCTCGGGCCCTACCTCATTTTGTAGAGACTTGGAATTTTAAAGGACCTTTCTAAGTAGACTTGGCAGGGATATTGAACAGCCCTAGATCAGGGAGTTTCACCCCATGAATCCTGCCCCACAGACACGAGAGAATAGTTTCATACAGAAGGAATCTAGAATGTCCCTGTCTGCAGGGCCATCTTGTGCTTGTAGCTCTGGGGGGTCTCTGAGGGACTGCCCGAGGGCAGAGGGCTTTGAGGGTTTTCCTGCATGTTCTGGTAGATTCTTGATTTTGTTTACGTTGTTTCCCCCCCACACTTGTCTGCTGTGACCCCGTTCTGAGAAGCAGCTGTTGGGATGCCCATGTTTCTGGTGAAGAACCAGGTCCTGTAAGGCCACGGCCCTCCTTAAAGTCAGGACGATGTCCAAGGGACAGCCAGGCCCCGAGGCCGCCCAGCCGGTGTTTGCAGGAGCCAAGGGAGGGTCCAGCTTGGGCCGTGGAGGAGGAGAGGAATGTTTGGGGGGGCGCCTAGAGGACCGTGTGAGAATGCCGAAGCTGATCTTTTGTGGAGTTTAGAATCCAGGAGCAGGGGAGAGAGCTCCGTCAGTACAATGTTTGTTATAGAAACATGAGGACCTGATATACAACGCCCCACCCACAAAGACGTCAGGCACGCTGGCGCTGGGGAGGTAGAAACGTGAGGCGCGCTGAGATTGATCGCCCATCCAGTTCAGCTGAACCAGTGAGCTCCAGGTTCAGGGGAGACCTTGTTTCAAAAGTTAAGATGGAGAGTGGTTGAGGGGGACCCCTGACATTGGTGTCTGGCCCTCACGCGCACGCTCGAACATACGCACGTACACCTGCACAGATGTGTGCAGATGCAGCTAGCCCTTATGGATGAACATGAGGGGGGTCCCTT